GAACACCAATAATGCAGCCACCAAGAGGCAGAGCTCAGTGGCGGCAGAGGAGTTCCTCTATGGGGCTCTCCCCCCACCTCTGAGTTCTGGAATCGGATTTGGTCCATCCGCTTTCCCTCCCCATGGGGTGATGCTGCAGACGGGATCTCCTTATGCATCTCGGCATCCGGCCAGTCATTTCCAGCCCAGGACCTATGGATCACCAGTGAACCCTCACCTATCTCGTCATCCAGCCACCAGCCAAGCCAATGGCCTCACTCAGGAGGGACCACTGTACCGCTGCCGGGAAGAGAACATGGGTCACTTTCAGGCCTTGCTGATGGAGCAGAGAGGCAGCGGAGGTGGCATGGGGGGGCCCCAGGACATGTACAGACCTCCAGGGTAAGACTGTTTTCCACAAGAAGGGATAGAAATAGGGGGAGGTGGTGAGTGGGGGGGTACACTTGGAAAGGTCTGGATTTGGAATCCAAGGTGCTGGTAGGAAGACTAAATGACAAACTAGTTCTGCTGTTCTAGGTCCGATGTCGGCAAAACTTGAGAGAATTTCGTGGCAACCTTTTAAAGGGCATAATAATAGAAATAAGAGACCCACCAGGCTGTGTAGTCCATCCCTGTAACAATGCTCCATCTTGCCAATCAGAATATTTCTATTGCTTTGAGTCTTATGAGCTATGAGGGAAGTCTCCATAATGGGTTGGAAGCTAGCTTCCTCTTGTTAACCCCAGACTTTTTTCAGACTGTCTCCTTTTTCTTTCCTTCCCATCTCAAACTTCCCCACAGAAAACCAATCCTCCCAGCCATTTCACTTGCTGCTTTTTATTCCAGTGTAGAAAATAGCGCTGCTTAAAAAATTGGCCTCCCACCCAAAGATAAATGCATGCAACAAAGCACCCTTGCTTTTGACTAACCCTCAACTGAGGGTTGGGGCCATGACCTGGTTTGGGGGAATCCAGAGAGAGGGCTGGGTCTAGATTGAGTGTAATTAGAATGCATGTTTGTATGGTATCTGTACATACCATATGGATGAGATTTATTCTTGGTGTCTTTGTGCTAAAACTGTCCTTCCGTTCAATTTGGTTCCAGAATGCAAATACACCAGCCCCATGCACCCTTCCCGAAGGTGCCTCCAGCAACCACGTCCCGGGAGGAGCTGCCACCACAAAAACCATCAGCATTGCCTCTGGATCAAGTAAGAGCCAGCAAAGAGCAGAGTTTGGAGGAGAACTTTGCTCATTTCACTAATTAAAGAAGTGAAATATTTGGAAATGGGCTAGGGGAGAAGGAGGGAAATGAAACAGAGCTTGTATATGAGAAGACAAGACTGCCCCGATATTCATAGCTGAATCCCCGACTGTAGATTGTACCTCAGTCAACACCTGTCCCGTCGCTAGTGTTGACGTTTTTGTACTGTGTAAGTGATGGAGTCTTTTCTTTATAAAATTCCTTGTTTAAGCAAATAACAGTGCAGCTTTTGTTCTTCCTCTTCCAGAGCTAGCCCAAGGAAGGAAGCACCCCAAGGAGAGGAAAGCCACATGTGATTTGGACACAGGGGAAAGAGGATATAGGCCTCCTGCCTTCCTTCTCTCCCCAGCGGCATGTAGCTTCCAGGGTCCGGTGAAACACAGTGCCTTGATGGCTCTTTGTGTGTGTTTAAACTTGGGATAGTCCTGGGTCCCTGGCTACCCCCGTATGGCTGATCTCAACAGCACAGAGGAAGCATCTCAAACTCTAGTGGCTTGTCATGACTGGAGACTGTGTCTCATTCAGGGTTTGGGTCAGGATGAGGAGATCGAAGCTGTCATGAACTGCAAAACTCAGGTATATTTTTCAGGGTGGAAGAGGGACGACGATGGACTTGACTTGTAGTATTAACGTGTGTTGTTTGGAGCTGGATCCAGTTTACAGAATTTACATGTTGCCTTTTTAAATAAATTTCTGTTGTTGGTGAATGTATTGTACATAATGGGGGAGGGATGGGACCCAGCTGGTAGTAGGCGTAGCACTGGGGTGATCTTTAACTGTTTACAATCATGTCACACACAGATCTTGGCAAAGGGGGAGATGATGGGAAGGAACTTTGCAACTTTCAGACCATCCCTCCCCCACACCTTCCTTCCAGAGTTAAGACACTACTCCCCTGTAACTGATCACAGGGACTGCTCAGGAGCAAAACATAACACTGTCCTCTTCCATGCAGTAGCTGAGTGCCCTTCCAGCTCCTGCCATCATGGGGAACAAGGAAACCAGGACCAGGAACTGAAAGTCTCTCATAGCATTGTCCTCTAAACATTTCTGGAATGCACCACCTGTGTACCAGCAAGTGGCTCATTACTCATTTTTACTTTTGTCCTCTTTAGGCAAAATCAGTGCAGTTTTGGAGGAGGAAACATGGAGTGGTATCACGGAGTTGTCTTTGTTGAAGCAACTAATTGTGCTACCATATACTGGCCCTTAGAAAGGAGAGAGGAATAGAGATATTCCTGGTTTTCTCTGTGTAACTTGGCTGTGGTCATCTTTGATGAAAGCAAAGCAGAAATAGCACCCCTCTTAAAATCTGGGAACTGCAGCTTGCAGGTGAAATAGGAAATGGAACTGCTTTAGAGAGGGTCTGTCTGGTGCAATGCGAACAAATTGTCATCCTGTGACATAAGCTTTTGATGTTTGTAAATGTAATAGATAAATGTGAATCAGAAATTATTCCTTCTAGCTAGAGTGGTTAAGGGACACAGTGGAGGTTGGGGAGTGGGGTAAGAATGCCTTGCATTAATGCACTAGACTTTCCTGCTAGAACTTAAGTTTAAATCGAGCTTTGATTATAAATTAACCGGTGGGGGTCTTATCCTTTGCCTGTTAGAAGCCGATATTTGTCCCACATTGTAAAGCCACCATGCAGGCATAATTGTGAAGCTTGGAATCTTGGAGAGAGGACTAGATAGGGTGAAAAGGGAAGTTGGTTCTACATTGTGCAGGGGTCTGATGATGGCAGAAAACGTGCTACTGGATAGGACTGCGGTGCATTAGCAGAGTTGCATGAAGCACCCTTGCTCAGGTGTTTACTGTGACTTGACTTCTTTTACCCACAGCTTTTGTGAGTTTCAGAAAAATAGCTGGATTAAAAACAAAAGTTCTCATGCTGTCTGGATGAGGGAAGGCTAATGTGTTAGTGTTTGCCACATTTCCTAGTAACTCTAACTGGTCAGCTACTATGATACCAGTTACTGCTAGTGGCGTTTTGTTGGGTTCTAAGCATTTTCCTCACTCTGGACCCACAGACTTACCAGGAATATGAGCACCAGTGGGCTGTGCTATCCCAACAGACACACTTGCAGTGGTATTCACACTATAAGCAAATAGCATTTATTGGCAAGTGAATTTCTAACGTGCCGTTCCTCTTATTCTATAGTCAATCTGTGAATTGTCTGCCCTCTGCTTATAGCAGTGCCTTGATTATTTGGCTTGTGCCCAAACCCAGGCTCATACAACTAAGAGGAAAATTGCAGAGCAATATAAATTACTTGAATATCTAATGACATAGAAAAATTACTAATTACATTAGTAAAGTGTCAGTTTTAATTAATTTTTATTCCATTCAGCAGACTGGGAACAGCTCTTCTTGGCAGTGTGGTGTAGGCTAGAACAGGGGTTCTCAACCTTTTTTATCTCTGAGCCCTCTCACTCCCCAACATGCTATCAAAACATCGCTCCTACACAGCACCAGGGCTCAGGGTGTCAGGCTCCTGCCCCAGGGGACACTGTGGCTTGAGACTTTAACCCTGTGGGTGGGGGAGGCAGAGCTTCTGCTCTGCATGCAGGTGAGGGAAGGGGAGGCTCGTGACTCTCTGGGCTTGAGCCCTGTGATTTTAGGACCAGAGCATGGGGCTTCTGTCGTGGGGTGCCCAGATTCAAGGCTCTGAGCATTCTGCCCTGGGCTCCAGGCAGTCTAATGCTGGCCCTGCTTCACGGCTCACAGACCCCAGTTGAGAAACACTGGTATAGA